GACTGGACTGGGCTCGGTGAGCTCCGGGACTGGACTGGGCTCGATATATATAGCTGGGATAATGAGTAAACGATGAACAGGTGTTACTCCCGGACTGGAGCGGGCTCTGGATTGGGATCTGTGAACTCCGGGACTGGAGCGGGCTCTGGATTGGGATCTGTGAACTCCGGCACTGGAGCGGGCTCTGGATTGGGAGACATGAGATCACCAAGTTGCGGTAACCAAGATAATCAATGAGGCCCCAAAAGTCAAGCATTTTAAACCCATCCATCTCCCGAGGAGGCACGGGATTGTCAAAACCATAATTAAAGATTTTCTTCAAGTCTGAGTCATGAAGTCCCATCCCTACCGCAAGGTTCCAAAAGGACTGAGCGAAATCTCCAATCTCCATCCCCTGTTGGCGAAGATCCACCAACATCCGGATCCGAGCCCTGCGCTCCTTCGAAGGAGGAGGAACAATCCGAACGTCCATGATCCACAAAAAGGTAACAGAAACAAACTGCTGGAACTGGTAATGGCGTCTTGATTCTGTCACGGAATGCCAGGAGAAAACAAGGTAAGTTCCAAGTGCAGTTTATTTGAAAGTAACAACAGAACAAAACAGAACAAAAACGTTGCAAAAGGTAATCCAAAACCTGACCACAGAAAACACAAACTGAGAAGACAATACAATCAAGATCCCAATGACAGACAGAGAAGGCATGATATATATAGCTGGGATAATGAGTAAATGATGAACAGGTGTTACCGATCAGACCAGGATTAGTGAGCAGGGGACTATGGGAAATGGAGTTTAACACAAACAACATAAAACAAAAGAGCGCCCTCAAGTGACCAGTCCAGGTCACCACAACAAAACAGTGTGACAGATGTAGTCTGTGTTCATGCTAGAGGAAGCTCATCAAATATCAGCGTCTAACAGAGATTAACTAAGCATTTTGATTCAAATGTTCGCCCTTTTTCTCATGTCCACCTACTCAGTGAACTTGCCAGCCCCTGCTACATTCAGGCAGACAGATGCCTCCGCAGTGACATATTGATCAGGGAGACTGAACGCTTCCAATCTGTCAATCCTGTCATGCCAGGCAAAGCAAATAGGGCCTCTGGAGCATGAGTTGAAATTCACACGCAGATGGCTCTGTGTTGCTAGGAGAAGTATTTGTGAATGAATGAATATATGGTGGGATCATTAGGAGGACGTTTAGTTTGGGCTGTAACTTTAAGGCATATTCTTTTTATAGTAAATAATAACCACATTCCACCCCAATTTGCTTTGGGATTGGTAAGATTTTTAGAAGATTTAAAAGAGTTGGAATATTTATTTACTTTTTTGAAAGCCAAGGCTGCATTTATTTGAGCAAAAATACAGTAAAAACAGTAATATTGTAAAATAGTATTACAAATTAAAATAACTGCTTCTATTTTAATGTATTTTAACATATAATTTATTCCTGTGGTGGCAAAGCTGAATTTTCAAGTGTCACATGATCCTTCAGAAATCATTGTAATGTTGATTTTGAGCTCGAGAAACATCAAAAGTTTGGGGTTGGTTTGATTGATTGACTGGTTAATTGATTAATTGATTAATTAATTCATTCAGTGTTGAAAACATGCTCAAAATTTTATCATTTTCGATCTATTTAATGTTTTTGCTAAATAAATGTTTTTTCCAAGAAAAAATACATTTAAAAAAAAATTCCATTTAGTAGATGATGTTGTCAACAATTTAATGTTACCAGAAATATTAGCAGTCAAGTTATACTAAAATAAATATATTCTTTAAAACGCTGCAAAAAACAAACAAACAAAAAAAAAACTTCCAAATGCATTTTTCATAAGTTTTATCACTAAAATGAAACAAACTTCATTGGTTCTCGCAGCTGTCTTTAACATGACAGGTTTAATTGTGACCAACTAACCTTTCTATTTTAATTCTCTATCGGAGCAGGCCAACTGGAGTCTATTCATCTCTCTGCCCCTTTTGTCGCTGTGAAAAATAAAGAAGTCAATCTGACGGTGGTTCTCTCGCCAAGCCAAGTAGGAACGGTCACCTATATCTGGTGGTTTGGGAACAATTCAGAGGTAAAGTCTCCATGTGTGACTCACTAGACACCCGTGCATGACTGAGTCTGTGTGTGTGTTTGCCTCACAGAGTGCCATGTAAATAAAGTTGGCATCTTCACTGCAACTACGCTGACAGGGCGTACTCTAGAGAATCTCTCTTACACTGTATTCACAGCCCGTGATCACGCTGGAGGGGAGTGTGGCGTTCACGTTCTCTCGAGAGGGAATCAGTGTTGTCACTGTACAGGTGTCCGCTGGGAATACCATCCTGCAAGACAGGAAAACCATCGCTGTCCACGGTGAGTTTTACATACAACAAGTAAACAGACTGCTAGGTACTGAATATAGCTTCATATATTAGCAATGAGGTTTCTCAAAATGTGTTTTATTCTTTGCTCATTGTATATTAGTGATACTTTTTGAAAATATCAACACTTTAACTATTGTAGTTAAGCATACAAGGTATAGTAAAAATGGTAAAAAAAACAAAAATAATGTTACGTTATTATAAATTGTTTTATGTATTTGAAGGAAGTCAATTATGATCACCAAGGCTGAGTCTTATGCTCACCAAAAATACAATAAAAACAATAATATTGCAAAATATCATTACAGTTTCAAATAATTATTTGTATTAGAATATTTTGTAAAGTGTGATTTATTCCTGTGATGCAAAGCTGAATTTTCAGCATCATTAAGTCTTCAGTGTCACATTCTTATATGCTGATTTGCTGTTCAAGAAACATTTCTAATTATTATTAATGTTGACAAACAGTTAAACAGTTGTGCTGCTTCATATATATATATATATATATATATATATATATATATATAACACTCTTGCCGAATATAAGTTTACATTTCCTTTCAAAAAGAAAAAAAAAGACTCCACACTTTTGTAAGTATATATAATGCAAGGAAACATATTTTTTCCAATAACAACAACAACTGTTTTTATCTGACATCACCAAGCTCTCTTGTTTTTCTCATTAATGTAAATTATGCGTAGACACCTAACCTCTATTTGCAATTGCTAATGTTTTTCAATTAATGAAAATGAATATTTGTAATGATTTTTTTTGGATATCCTCAGGAATGTCAAGAGTCAAAATTAAACCTCATTCATATCACATTTTAAATACCATATCATACAGTAAATACACATTGAAAACAAATGCAGCAGCAAAGGTGTACTGTAGGGCAGAAGTCAAAAACTAATTAATAATTGTAAGTTTTTTTTGTTTTGTTTTTGTAATTACAGAATACTTCAGATCTCATCTTCTTGCCTTTTCGTCTAATCTGGATGATCACAACCCTGATGTGACTGAATGGAGGCTTGATGCGAGTCGAGTCATTAAAACCTCTATGGTGCAGGTGAGTTCAGACCATTTACCATTTGACAAAAAACATTCACTTTTCACACAGCTGAAAATCTGGCCCTCTATTCAGTGGCATTACAGAGTTCAATATATAATGCTTCACTGCATATACAATATAATAAAGCATGAGGAGGCAATCATGTCTGTTTGCTTTGAGATCATCTACTGTATATAGTGTAATGCTAACATAAGGTTTAAGCAGATATACATATTAAAGTCTTTCTTTTCCTTGAAGGATGTAACTACAGCCTGTTTATTCACATTGACTCGGGTACACAAGAAGAAATAAATAGATTTTTCTCTTTTCACTTAAAGGGGTCATATGGTGCGATTCCAATTTTTCCTTTCTCTTTGGAGTGTTACAAGCTCTTGGTGCATAAGAAGAGCTTACAATTCATAAGATCTGTAAAGTTGCAAAGACTAAAGTCTCAAATCCAAAGAGATACTCTTCATAAAAGTTAGGAGTCAGCCACACCTACCTAAGACAGCTCGTTCTAATGCCCCCACATGTCTACGTCGCTATGTGGGAAGATTTGCATAACGCCGCCCAAATGTTCACGCAAAGAAAGAAGGCGTAACTTTTATTCTCGCTGTAGTTTTGTTGTTTCCGCCGCAATGTCGTAAAGACGCTGTGTGCTTCGTTGTGAAAGTGAAACTACTTTGTTTGGTCTTCCAAAAGAGGACGATATCTGCTTCGTCATGCATGGAGCTGATCCGTGCTGGTTGCTGAGGAAATACTACAACTTTGCGCTGTCGATCGCCGGATCGGCTTTCATCGTGGACGATGCGGAGTCCAGCCCGGAGTCGTCACATGTCCTTCCGGATGCTCCTTCGTCGAAATCGCCGACCGCGCCGTTCTCAAGCCCCCCCGCCTCTGCTCACTCTAAGCCTCCCGCCTCATGCTAGCCCCCGGCCTCTGCTCACTGTAGGCCGC